CATTACTTTTAGTAGCCATTGTAAATAAAATTCTTATTTAGTTAGTTGTATTTATATGATAAATGCACATATAAAAAAATGTAACCAAATAAATGTTTTATTTATGTCAATAAAATGCAAATCATATAAATGTTGATCTAATCTATTAGTTTTAGTAAAATTATTTAAAAAATTAAGGGGTTAAGAATTTTTTTTTATTACTTTTAAAAAAAAAATAAAAAAAATACTAATTTCTAATATTCAGAATTTTTGTAATTAAAAAACAAAAAAAATGAATAAATTACCAATTATTTGTGATTGTTTTCAATGTAAAGGAAAAGAGTTTCTAGTTCGACTAAATGGAGACATCAACAAAAATCTGAAGCATAGAATTATCAATTAGATAAAATGGATTATGAATCTACTTTAGATATAAAAGATTTTTTAAAGAATAATAATATTATAATTGAGTCTCAATTACTAAAAACATTAGTAAAATTAATTATAATTTATTTATAATTATAATTTTTATTAATTTATAATTTATTTTATAGTAATGAATTTGAAGAAATTCATTTAATGAAGATTTAAATAAATTAAACTATACTAGGTTAATTATTTAATTTTATATAATTATATAAGATTATTATAATTTTTTTAGTGATCAAAAAAGTATTGATACAAATCAATTATGGATAAAAGAAAAAATTAATGTAAAATAAATATAAATAAAATATGGGTTGATTCAAATAAAAGTTCTGATAATTCAATAAGTTTTAATGATAATAACAATTATTTGAATTAGAAGATGAAGATATTGAAGAAATACAAGATGATTCAATAAATGGTATAATTATGTATTAAATTTTTTATATTAATAATATTTTAAACTTATAATATAATTTAATATATTTATAGAATATGATAAATTATCAGAATCATTTATAAATGTTTTAAAATTATTAGAAGTTAAACAAAAATATAATCTTACTGATTATGCTTCTAATGATATTTTAAATATTTTTGCTAATGGTGAAGTTAGTTTACATTTAACAAAAAAAAAATTAACTGAATTAGTAAATTTATAACCAATTTTTATAAATATATGTATAAATTCATGCTGTACTTTTATAGATCAATTTGCTAATGATATATTATATCATTATTGCAAATAAGAAAGATTTATTACTAAAAACCAATTATCATAAACAAAAATTTCAAGAAAAGTTACAAGTTTTTTTCTATTAATAGATAGATTTAAACTTCAATTTAATGATCCTAAAAGAGCTTTAGATTTAGAATATAGATCTCAATATATAAATAATGAGGAATATAGTAATGATAATATTAGTGATATATTTGATGAAAACCTTTACAAAGAATTAGCAAATAATGGGTATTTTTCTGATGAAAGAGATATTGCTTTAATATAGAGGGTCTCTAAAAGTTTACGCACACTTTTTTTGTACGAATTTTAATCAAATTTTTATTAAGCAAACAAATGATCTACAAATAATAAATATTGTTCCTAGAATAATAAATTATATTTTATACTAAGCTATTTATTATTTGATCAGGCCACTATTTTCATTTAAACTTATCACAAACATCGAAAATATCATAAATATCACAAATCTCACAAATTTCGCAAACATCATAAACTGCGCACAATTTGTTTATGCACTTATAATTTGAGACGATCGTGTAAATTTTCTCACTCTAATTAAAAAAAAATAAATTAACCAAAAAAAAAATTTTTTTAACCTTATCTTAAAAAAATGGGTAAAGAAAAAGAGCTTACAGAGTCCCAAAAAGGCGCTATTCTTTATGGACATCGACTTGGCCATTTATGCAGAAAAATTGCAGGAACTGTATGATATGGGCTCTCTGCAGTTTTAACTTGTATAAGAAGGTATAAAGCCACCGGGTCTACTGATACAAAGCTATGTTTTAGATGACCACGTCTTTTCACAACTCCAAATTGTAACTAACTTAAACGATTGGTTACAAAAAAAACAATCACCCCAAATGTAAACGTGAAATGCAAGCCCTTTGGAAAAAGAAGTCAGGCAGGATGCTTCTACCCCTACCATCCGTCGAACACTTCATATTGCTGGATTAAACAATTGTGTAGCTCAGCGAAAACCATTCATTTCACCTGAAAACATGGTGAAAAGACTTGCATGAGTACAAGAGCATGCACATTGAACTGTGCAAGACTGGGAAAAGGTTCTTTGGAGTGATGAATCAACCTTTTCTCAGTTTCAGCAATCACGTATCAGCTGGGTATGGTGAGAATCATCTGAGAAATGGTTACCTACTTGTGTTTCAGCGACAGTGAAATACAGTCCAAGTCAGATGTTCTAGGAATGCTTTTCTGCACAAGGATTAGGGCCAATTGTCCCTCTAGTTGGTTTTATAATCAGTTCAATACATATTGAAACTTTGCGCAAGCATGTTGTCCCTACCATGAAGCGTTTTTTCAAATAGGGATGATATTTTTCAGGAGAATAATGCTCCTTGTCACTGAAGCAAAATTGCTGCAGAATTTCATGCAAAAAAAAATATCCGAACCCTTAAATGGCCTGCCTAAAGTTCTGATCTTATCCTGATTGAAAATTTATGGGATAAAATTAAAAAAACCTTTGAAGCTAAAAAATAAAGCCACTAACATTTCCTTACTTGAACGACAGATACGAAAGGCTTGGAAATCAATTACCTCTGAAAAAATTGAAAATTTAGTCGAAAGTATGCCTTGATGAATTCAGGCGGTAATTGATGCAAAT